TCTCTCTCTCTCTCTCTCTCTCTCTCTCTCTCTCTCTCTTCCTTTCTTTCTTCCCAGTGTCACTCCTTATCTACTTTCAGTGACTCAAATGCTGTTCTAAAATCAAAAATTCCCCAAGTTATTACTTACTTTTTCTTGTATAGCTTATTTATTATTTGGTTTTTAATTGATCCCTAATCTGCTTAAATATTTGTTTCTAAATTAACTTGCTTACATGAATTTTCCAAATACATTTTAAGACCCAAAGTGAGCTTATATTTTAAAAGAATTTTTCTTTTTAGCTTTATTCATGCCTTTCTCATATTGGTTATTTCCTCTTTGAGCTCTCCCTTGTGACGAAGGGAAATAGTTCAGTAAAACTGACCAACAAAGCTACTGTGTCTGATAAATAGAATTATTGTGCATTGTAGTTTCCCATTTTTGTACCAAGATCATAAATGCAGATCTGGAAAAGACTCAAGGGGCGTTTTTCAAAATATCTCCTCTGGAACCCATATTAGTCTGTAATTCATCTGAGTTCAGCCCCCAATTAACATTGGTTTTGTATACGTTCTTGTTGTCATTATGTATTGTATTCTCTTAGTTCTACAAGCTCATGCATTTTTCAAATTGTCCTTTTGGAAGTCATATTGCAAATTTCTGCACTTTATTTTTCAAATAAAAAAATATAAAACAGAAGATTAAAAAATCCAACATTTCCTGTGATTGACTTCATGGAAATGTGATTCTTTAAATGACCCCCAAATAGTGCTTTTAAAGGTAAATTTTTGGCACATTTCTGCAGTTTTACAGTATCTGGCTGGTAATCAAGTTAAATTAAAAGAAAAAAATAAACAAAACCTGGCAAGAATTCTTAGACCAGTAATAATGTGTCAGAGTTTCATTCCTTCTTTAAAAAAGACATCGAATATTAGATCTGACTCCTCTGATGTACAGTCATCCCTCTGACTTTAAATTCATAACTTTTTAAATGCTGTCTATCAGGATCCCATAAGTGGAAACCTCTCATCTTCCTGACTACCAAAAAGAAAAGATCTATTAAAAAGTAGTCTGATTTTTTTTTTCTTATGAAATTCACTTTCCATTTTCCCTTACACATCCAAGTAGTAAGGGAAACATAACTAGTCAGATTATTGAATCATTATGTCCAAAATCATTGGCCTTTCTTTCCTCCTTTCCCGTATTCCTGTCTCCTTTTGGTTTTGTCTTGAATAATCCTGAATGGATAGTAGTAGTTGTTGCTGCTTGTGTAGAAATAACTGGTCAGTGACTCAATTCTCTTCTTTTAAAATTTGTTTTTCTTATTTTAATAAAGTATTTAGTGTTATTCCCTTCCCTACCCCCCCCCCAAGTTTAAAATAAGAAATTGGTCATTTGCAGAGTAGACTTTTCGCTGACAATGACAAAGGTATTGGATATTTATTATTTTTGGAAGTATTGTAGGGGAAAAAACTAGCTTAGAATTTATAATGTGATAGCCCCTCATAGACATAAATAAAGTTGAGATGAGGGTAATTCAACTTAATAAGTACACACAATTAAGTGCCTATACACTGTGTATAAGGCACTGCTTTATGTATTGGTGGGTTATAATAGGAAACACTCCCTACCTTCATAGAGCTTACATTTCTCTGAGTATATGTTCACAGACCCACATAAAAAACCATATTTGACATCTAGTGTAGTGTTGTTTTCTTTGCTATAATTGTATCTGCAAGTTTAGTTTTTCAGGGTTGGGTGATGGAATGTGTAGTGGGGATTATCGAGATAATTAAAATATAAATTCCTTAAGTTTTTTTTAGAAGAAGCCTTCGTTAAGATCCTAATTATGAAGTGTTTATACTTTATTTTAGTGGTATAAAGCTACCTTCTGAAGGTATAAAACATATTGCTCAAGTAAAGAAGATATTTTATGGGGGCCCTCATCTTCTCTTGAGACTTCAGACAACCAGAAGAAAGACCTGGGAAAGAGATGAATTCAAGTATCACAAATATTGCTATTTTCTCCCTAGGAACTTCTGCTTGCTGAAAAGTGGGCTAAAATGAATAAGCTCTCCTTTCCAAAGATTGATCCTTATGTGTTTGATCGAGAAGGTCTGAAGGAATGTTATGTCTTCAAACCAAAAAATCCTGATGTAGACAAAGATTGCCCAACCATCATCCATTTTGTTCTGGCCAATATCAACTTCAGAAATTATAAAGCTCCTGGTGAGTTGGGAATGATTTATGGAAATTTCCTGTCAAACAGAAATTGTTGTTTTTCTTTTTTGAGGGGTATAGCAGGGCAGTGTAGGAGGTCAGAGGAGGGAACTAGCTTTAAAGTACTTTCTATGTGAAAAGATCTGGAATTTATCACCTGAAAGTTCAGTGTGAATCAGTGGCGTGATATGACAGATAGAAAAGCTAATGTAAACCTAGGCAACTTTGATAGAAATAGTGTTCCCAATAATGGAAGTAATGGGTCCTCTGTATTCTCTGAGTCAGTTCACATCTGCCGAGTGTGTTAAATTATGGACCCCCGCCCCACTCCAGGAGGATAATTGGTAATGTAAATAGTATTATAAGAGGGAACCTGCAATCTTTCATGATTGAAAGAATTAGAGAAATATTTAATAAAAGAAGATATTTCAAGAGCACATAATAGTGATCATCAAATATTTTATGTATCATCATGTATAAGAGGGAGAAGACTGAGTTGCTCAAGAGGGAAGAACTGGGACCAATAAGTAGAAGTTATATGGAGGCAGGTTTTAGGTTAACATAAGAATGTTTTTTTTTTTTGAAGTGCTTCTTAACAAATAGATTTATCAAACAATAAAATGGGCTAGCTAACTGACAAAGGAGTGAATTTACTTACTGGGGAAGTATTCAAGTACAGGTTGAATGATTTTTAGCCAAAACGATGTAGAAGGAATTTCTGCGTTGGAAAAGAAATTAGCCTAGATGCCGTATAAAAATTCTTCTAAATTTAAGATTTGAAAATTCAGCACGTATTAGTTGGCATTTTAAAATGGCTTACTCTTTGTAAATTAATATAATCATTTGTATCCATTCTGTTGACATAGGAATTCCGAGAGAAACACAGGAAGAGAAAGATTTTGCTGATTTTGATATTTTTGATGACCCTGAATCTCCATTCTCCACATTCAACTTTCAATATCCAAATCAAGCTTTTAAAAGGCTTCATGATTTAATGCATTTCAATACATTGAATAACATAGATGTAAGTATCATCTTTTTAGTAAAGTTAGATTGTTATTATTATTATTATTTTTGGTGAGACAATCGTAGTTAAGTGACTCACCTGGGGTCACACAGCTACTAAGTGTCAAATGTCTGAGGTCAGATTTGAACTCAGGTCCTGCTAACTCCAAGGCAAGAGCTCTACCCACTGTGCCGCCTAGCTGCCCCCAAGCTACATTGTTTCTAAGAAAGGTACACAGAGTGATAACTAGTTTAAATAATTTAAATATGCAAATAGTCATCCTAAACACAGATACTGCTAACCTTTGCAAGGGGGTGACAGTAATATTGAGTGTGTGTGAATTCGAAGCAAAAGTAATATACCATCTTGGTCACATCTTCAATAGAGTTTCAAAGAAAATACAACTTTGCAATTAAATGCTTCTTTGGCTTCTTTCTGATATTATTATTTCACCACAGAGTAGGTCATAATAAATATTGTTTTTATAAGCAGAGGGCAACTTTGAGGATTTTGTCATTTTTCCTCCATTGTGGTTCCACAAACTCAATATTTAAATAGTTAATTGCCAGAAAAAAGTAAAGATAAAATAACCTGTGATTTGTGAAAATATGAGGTTCAGAATTACTACTTTGATCTTGAGATCCATAACAACTTAAAGGAGAGCTGGAAACTTGAAAATACTGTCATAATTCCTCCAGTGGAGTACAAGTGGAGAATATCAACTTGAAGATAAGGATTGTTTGGTATTTATCTTTGTATCACCAGTACCTAACACAGTGTTTGGCATACCATAGGTACTTAATGAAGGCTAATTGAATGGACTGGTTGATGAAGTACAAGTCAGGTGCATATAGTTGTATAGATAAACACATAGTAGGCAGACGTGATAGGCTACAGATTTTACAAGCAGATTCAATAGATTATGGATGTGTAAATTTACCATATTACACATAGAAAAATAAAAAATGACATTAACTAATTCTGCATAATTGATATACATTTCTCTCAGTTTGTAATTTTGGTTTAAAATCTAATGAGTACTTTGTTCTAAGAATTAACTGTTATTTATAATCCTTCAGTTATTTATATTGTGATAATATTGATTAGAAACTGAGGAACTGATTTAAATTAAAGAGACAGAATTTTAAGAAAGGGTTCTCTTAACTAACCTTACACTATAGCAAACTCATCAGATATTGTCTTTTTGTAGTTCATTTAATCATGTTGCCTTTTAAGTGCTTTTGTTATTGTCTTAGGAACCAGAGGGTGGAAAAAGAGATACTTGTCTAAGAAACAGTCACAAGCAGCTTACCATTTATCTTTACAAGACAACTTGTGGTTATTATCCACCCTTTGTGGAATCTGTGGTTCATTGGAAATTTGGTTCTTCAACTCCCAGTTAGGCCTACCTAACCCTTTGCTTAAAGAATACTCCAAACAATAAAAATGGAAATAAAAAGAATAATCCTCCCCCCATCTGAAATGGAATCTCCCAGCTGTTCACAGCTGTGCCACCTCATTGGTAACTGAGTTTGTGTATTTTTCGGTGTATTAATGACGTGGTTTTTCTTTCCTCTCTGTGTTGTGGCTGCACTGTTTCAGCACACTGTGATAATCTCTGTTAGCGTCAGTTTTTGCATATGTCTGAGACAGCCAAATTCTGGCCACTGACCATGCTTCGATGTTTCTAGCCTGGCTGTAATCTGTTATTTAGGACCCAAGTCTATCTGTGTGCCATTGTTGCCTTTTACTTTAGCTTCTTTTGTATGTCTCATTTCCTCAATCTCATCGCAAACACTTTGGCTGATGCGGTGGGGGTAGGGGGCTATATCTTAATCTTATAATGCTTAGCATACTTCTAGCATTTTATTGAATGCAGGAAGGAAATAGCTCACACTTGATGCTAATGTAATTGATCAAAAAACATGCTGTGTCATAGAGGAGGAGAGAATTATTCCAGGTCTTATTGCCATATAGGATTGAATTTAATTAAGAAGACATACACACATATTAAGTGCCTTCTACCTTGAGTTCCCTTCATATATAATTCACATCTATTTTTATATATAGATGCTTTCCTTTCTAGAACATAATTCCCATGAAGGCAGAGATGACTTCATTTATATCTTTGTTTTTTCATTGCTCAGCACAGTGCCTTGAGTATTATAGGATCTTAATAAATGATTACTGATGGACTGATTAATTTTGAGTCTGGGGATACAAAGACAAAATTTTAAAAAAAAGTCCCTGCCTTCAAAGAATTATATTCTACTGGGAATTCAAGTAAATAAAACAGAATATTTACAAAATGATCTCAAGAGGAAAATAGTAATAACAAATGAAGGCAGGGGAAGGGATCAGGAAAAAAAAAACTTATGTAGGAGTTAGTCCTTGAGGTGCTCTTTGAAGGAAGCTGGGGATTCTATAAGGCAGGGATGAGGAAGGAGTACACTGTAGGCATGAAATGTATGCATGTCCTGTCATAAATTGTTATAAAAGTAAAGCTCCTGTGGTGACAAATTAACCATTTGATTTTTTTTTATTAATCTTATCTGAAACACATAGTATGTTCTGCAAGCATTTGAAAAATCTACAAAGAAATTCCCTGAGCATGAAATACCATCCAGTGGTTCAGTCCCTGTGTTTCTATTGTGATTGAACTGGGTACACTAAACTGTACACAGAATATCAGAATGGGGGGGTAGCTTAGAAATAATTTATTACAATACCTTCATTTACTAATAAGGAAACTAAGGGACCCAGAAAAGTCATCCTACTATGCACACCAAATTTAGAGCCTGCAAATGATGATGAGCGAGATTGAAAAACTCATTTGTTCTAGTTTGAATTTTTCTTGTTTTTAATGACTGAGAATATTTTTATACTATTATTCAAGTCAAGTTGTCAACAAGTATTTATTAAATACTTACTATGTGCCAGGCACTGTGCTAAGCATTGAGGATACAAAGAAAGGCAAAAAACAGTCACTGCTCTTAAGGAATTTATGATCTAAGAATCTAAGGCATGCAAATAATTATGTGTGAACAAACAATTATTGAGGCTAATCTGAGAGGAATGGAACTAGCATTAAGGGGAATTGAGAAAGGTTTTTTCCAGGTGGGATTTACCTAAGTCTTGAAAGAAGATGAGAAAGGAGAGCATTCCAAGCAGGAGGGACAGTCAGGGAAAATACACATGGTTGATAGATGCAGTATTTTGTGAGAGGAAAAGAAAGGGGGCCAACGGAGGCCACTGAATCTTAGAGTACATGGAAGGAAGTAAGGTGTAAGAAGACTGGAGAGTTGGGAGAACTTGCATTTCTTCTTTTGAAAAACTAATGATATCTTTTGTCCATTTTTCTACTGAAATTGCATTCTCCTTAGCAATACAGAATATCATAGGTGTTTTACTTCTATAACAGAGGGATGGAATTTACTAACAAGAACACTGAGGGCAATGGTCAACTGCAAATGTGTATGAATTCTCAACCTAGAATTTTCAGTATTTCTTTGTAATCATGAAACTTTTAGGAATTATAAAATATATAAAGATGTTGAAGAAGATACTGAGTGGAAAATTTGTTCATATTGTCATACTATTGTACTAAAAGAATACTTTTTAAAAAACAAATTCAGAATAATACACAGAATATTACTCTTCTCCATGCATTTATCACATGCCATCTGAGCTCCTTCTCCTGGCAGTAGAACATTTGACCGTTGTGGGCAGTGACTGTCTTTTTTTTTTTTTTTACACTTCTTTTTTTTTGGGGGGGGGGTTAGGCAATGGGGTTAAGTGACATGCCTAAGGTCACACAGCTAGTAAGTGTTATGTGTCTGAGGCCGGATTTGAACTCAGGTTCTCCTAAATCCAGGGTTGGTGTTCTATCCACTGCGCCACCTAGCTGCCCCTTATGACTGTCTTTAAAAAAAATAAAAATAAACTTTCTACTTCTAGCACCCTACACAGTACCTTGCATGTAGAAGGTTATGAGTATATGTACTGAATGAATCTGTTGTTTCTGTTTTGCAGATTATAAAGAATGCCATATTTGAAAGCATTGAATACAGAAGACAGAACCCATCTCGTTGTTCCGTTTCCCTCAGTAGCATTGAGGCACGAAGATTCTTTAACAAGGACTCCCTAAGCAAACCCTCAGCATAGGCTATGTGCTAGAAAGTACATCCATTGTCTGTACTATAGCTGTTTGCAATATTGTAACAACTGGATTTGCCACAAGGCATCATTGCTCTAGAGAGACTGGATGGCACTAAGATGAACAGTGATTTTGCTGCATGAGAATAATACCATTGTTGTCTTTTTGAATTGACAAATGCCATTCATTATGTGAACACATGCTTATTCACGTATTCCATCAGTATGAATTTCCAAATGTACTGTAGGACCATATACTGAATTTTTAAACATTCCTCACCAGCTGTTTTATTCACTGTACTATTTTTTAAAATGCTGATTCTTTTTAGAGTATTTGAGAGGATTGATGTCAAGGACTACTATTTTACATGGAGTGCAAATTTTATCCACTGACTAGATTTATCATCCTATAGGACAACACTATTTCTTATTTATGTATACAGAAATGTAATAGATGTCTTTAGCAATATAAACATTATTTTGTGAAAGCTTTTTTTTTAAAGATTCATCGTGTCAGCACTTTTAGTGAAATAGTCCAATGTTAATACAAAACCTCAGATCCTCTGTCCCCAAAGCAAGAGGCCAGAATTGAATATAAATAATGTTATCTCACATTTATATAGTGCTTCATAGTTTACATAGCACTTTCTTCATGATAGCCTGATAAGAAAGGTGGAGGAGGGTGTTTTTACTCCTATTTTATGATTGAGAGAACTAGGTTAGTGAGCCTGAGTGACTTGTCCTTGGTTAATGAGGGCTAGGATTCAAAGCTAGATTTCTGACTCTAACTCTGCTTTTTTGACTACTCCATACTAATACCATACCTCTATCACATTCAGGCTATTTTTTTAAGTTCCTGTGATTTGTTTTATTAAATAAATAATTTACATACCAAATCAGGAAACAGAAATGCAGAATTATTAAGGCAGGATTATGTTGCATGCTTCAAACAACTACTGCCTGTCCACAAGTTTTTTTAAATTAAAATTATTTTGTCTTATTTTTATTTTTTTCTTTGTTTCTTTTTGTTTTCCCCCAGTGAATTACTTAAGACAATATTAATGACAGAAAAGTCTGCTTCTGGCAGTCCAGCTTTCCTATTCTCCTCTGAGATTATCCATATCACAAAGGATCACTGAATCCCACTGCCCCAATGCTGTTTCTTCTTCTGAACCCCTGAGCTACAGGATTGATATTTTCAGAATGTGACCTTTCTCTTCTCCTTTTAACTTTCCCTCATTCCTCCTCTTTCCATGTATTATTTTCCTTTTTGATTAGATAGCTTCCATTCATTTTTTTTCTTTTCTTCCACATAATCTATTTCTCTCTCTCTGTTTGTGTCTGTCTCTAGGCCTGCTTATCTGCATTTTTTGTTTTGTTTGTCTCTGTCTGTCTTTCCCCCATAGATTAAGACCTGTAAGAAACCTCTGAGGTCATTTAATCTATTCCTTCATTTTACAGAAGGAGAAAATAAGACACAAGAAAGTGGAATAACTTCCCCAAGGTCATACTGGAAATAAATAGGAGAGCCAAGATTTAATTCAAGTTCCTATAACTTCAAATCCAATCCTTTTCCCACATGAAAAAACTACCTTAATGCTCCATTAAAGCAAACTTCTATTTTCAAAAGCTTTTTCTTTTTTTTTCTCAGTTTATTTATTTCTAGTTTTGAACATTCACTTCCACAAGATTTTGAATTCCAAATTTTCTCCCCATCTCTCCCCTCCTGCACCTCATGATGGCGTGCATCCTGATTATGCCTTACCCCAATCTGCCCTCCCTTCTATCACCACACCCTTCTCTTATCCCCTTCCCCTTCTATTTTCCTGTAGGGTAAGATAGATTTCTATACACCATTGCCTGTGTATCTTATTTCCCAGTTGCATGCAAAAACAATTTCCAACATTCACTTTTAAAACTTTGAGTTCCAAATTCTCTCCCTTGAGTGGGCAAACAATTCGATGTAGGTTATAGATGTATAATCATACAAAACACTTCCATAATAATCATGTTGTGAAAGACTCCATCCTGTCTCGCCTCCCCCACTTATTCTACTTTTTCCTTTGACCCTGTACCTCCTCAAAAGTGTTTGCTTCTGATTACCCCATCCCCCAATCTGTCCTCCCTTCTATTCCCCCCCATCCCATTCCCCACTACTTTCCTGTAGGGTAAGATAGATTCTCACACCCAGTTGAGTGTGTATGTTATTCCCTCCTTAAGCCAAATCTGATGAGAGTAAGGTTCACTCATTCCCTCTCACCTTCCCTTTCTTCCCCTCCACTGAAAAAGCTTTTTCTTGCCTCTTTTATGTGAGATGATTTACCCCAGTCTACCTCTCCCTTTCTCCTTCTCCCAGTACATTCCTTTCTCACTCCTTAATTTTATTTTTTGGATATCATCCCTTCATATTCAACTCACTCTGTGCCCTCTGTCTATATATGTTCCCTTCAACTATCCTAATAATGAGAAAGGTCTCATGAGTTACACATATCATCTTTCCATGCAGGAATGTAAACAACTCAACCTTAATAAGTTGATTTCTCTTTCCTGTTTACTTTTTCACAATCCTCTTGAGTCTTGTATTTGAAAGTCAATTTTTTATTTAGTTCTGGCTTCTCAAGAATGCATTAAATTCTTTATGTCATTGAATGTCAATCAACCCCACCCAAATGATTGCACTCAGTCTTGCTGGGTAGGTGATTCTTGGTTTTAATCCTAGCTCCTTTGACCTCCAGAATATTATCTTCCAAGCCCTCTGATCCCTTAATGTAGAAGCTGCTAAATCTTGTTTAATCCTGATTGTGTTTCCACAATACTTGAATTGTTTCTTTCTGGCTGCTTGCAATATTTTCTCCTTGACCTGGGAACTCTGGAATTTGGCTATAATATTCCTGGGATTTTTCCTTTTGGAATCTCTTTCAGGAGGAGATTGGCAGATTCTTTCAATGTCTATTTTACCTTCTGGTTCTAGAATATTAGGGCAGTTTTCCTTGATAATTTCTTGACAGATGATATCTAGGCTCTTTTTTTGATCATGGCTTTCAGGTAGTCCAGTGATTTTTAAATTATCTCTCCTGGATCTATTTTGCAGGTCAGTTGTTTTTCCAATGAGATATTTCACATTGTCTTCTATTTTTTCATTCTTTTGGTTTTGTTTTATAAGTTCTTGATTTCTCATAGAGTTCCCATTTGCTCCATTCTAATTTTTAAAGAATTATTTTCTTCAGTGGACTTTTAGACATCCTTTTCCATCTGGCCAATTCTGCTTTTTAAGGCATTCTTCTCCTCATTGGCTTTTTGGACCTTTTTTGCCATTTGGTCTAGGCTATTTTTTAAAGTGTAATTTTCTTCAGTATTTTTGGGTCTCCTTTAATTAGCTGTTGACTTGTTTTTCTTGATTTTCTTGCATCACTCTCATTTCTCTTCCCACTTTTTCCTCTACTTCTCTTATTTGATTTTCAAAATCCTTTTTGAGCTATTCCTTGGCCTGAGACCAATTTATAATTTTCTTAGAAGCTCTGGATGTAGGAGCTTTGACTTTGTTGTCTTCTTCTGAGTGTGTTTTGATCACCAAAGTAAGATTCTATAGTCTGAGGTTTTGTCTGCTGTTCATTCATTTTCCCAGCTATTTACTTGATTTTTTTCTAAAGCTTTTTCTAATAGATTATCTCATTGAATATTCACCACATGCTTGTGTGGAAGACAGAGGCATGGAGTTTTAAGGGATTTCCTCAGGTTCTCCAATTTGTCCTGGTGGAACCTACATTTTCTGGTTTCTAACTCAGTGTTCTTTCAACTACTTCTAACTACTCTGATGCATCAATTAAAGAAGAGGCAACTACTATTATTTATAGTCTGATTGTTAAATTTATGATTTTTCAGGCTCTTTATTATAGTTTGAGAATTCAAGGGTATTTTAAAAGTATTACAGGTTTGAGAGGCATCATGGCACAATAGATGCAGAGAAAATCTCAAAATCAGGAAGACCTGCCTTCAAGTCCTGTTCCTGACTGCATGACTGTATCCAAGTCATGTAACTTGTAGTTGACTTAAAAAATTCTAAGACTCTATGTTGCACGTGCTGATCTATGTTATTGGAAGAAATGGCTTCAGTTAATGTTCTCTAAACCAATAAAATTACAGGCTTCTCAATGTTGGGCCTCTAAAACACACTATGTCAGTTACTACCTCAGCCAACCAATCAACAAACATTAATACATGCCCACAATGTACCAAGCAGTGTGCTAAATGCTCAGGATGCAAAAAGAAGCAAGGCTGTCCCTATGTTCAAGGAGCTTACAATCTAACTACCTTCCCTGCCTACTTGTAAGACTAGTTCTGACAGGATCTTCATCCACTTGACAACCATCACAATCAAGAATACAATTTGATTTGATTCTCTAGTTTGTTAATTTCTCCTAGTTCCATGCTTGGTGGGAAAGTAAAATTACAGGTCAATGTAGTAATCGTGCAAATATTTTTCATAAACCATGTAACTCACCACAATCCCATGTACTCTTAAAACCAGAAAATTGCACATTATAACCCTGAATCCCTCCCAGCTATTGCTTCTCAGTCAGTTATGCCTTTCTTGATTCTAGCTCCTGTTTCTGGGATCAAAAACAGACATCTTCCCACAAGAGAAAAGCTTGAATTCACTAACAATGGATGATGGGTGATAGTGTAGTGTCATGGAAAGGGTCCAGGGTTTGAATCTGAGCACCTCGGTTTGATCTAAGGTGTGTCTCCTACTACTTATGTGACCTTGGGCATATTGAATAATTTCCTGGATCTCATTTTCCTCACCACCGGGGTTGGACTAGAGGATCCCTCATGAAGATTCCTCTAAATTTAGGACCCTATGATTCTCACAAAGAAACAGATTGAAAATCAGCATAGTGCTACAATGACCATCAAAATTATCCTGAAGCTGCTCCCTGATTTTTTTTTTTTTTTTTTAGCTCAGCCCTTGCATCTTTCCATCTCTGGCTAGACAACAAGATTTAAAGAATACTATTTAAGCAGAATATCATAACCAGTACTGTGGAGAGATTTGAAGCAAATTCTACACAGGACCCTGACCTCAAAGAAATTTTATAGAAATGGAAAAGAATAACATTTTTCTTCAAAATATGTAAGAGATGAAGCACATAGTAACATAAAGAAATATACAAGTGCCAGCAGTTATGTATTTATTGATGCATTCATCAAACATTTACCAAGCCCCTTTTGTACTTAGACAACTGTGTTATACATTGTGAGAGATAAGGCTTGAAAGGATAAATGCTTCCTTGCTACTATGGATCCTACAGACTAGAACGACAGACAGAAGTTCTGAAGTAGTTAAAGTGACCAGAATGTAGTGGGATTGATCTGGGGAGTCTTCCTGAAAGGAATGAGTGTTTTGAAAGGGAAAGATAGAATATTTTAGAAGATGATGGAGGGCATCTTAAATCTCCTCCACTGTTTTAGCATCATCCTGTGGGGCTCATGGAAAGTGGAGTAAGTGAATGAATGTATGAATGGCCACAGATAACCTTTCTCAATTTACTTTATTCATACTCTTTTCTTGATGCAAATTTTCCTACTGATATTCTCAGTATCATCATTTTTAAGTTTGTACCCATTCTAGACATTTGCATACACACCCACACCCACCCACACACCACATTTATGCTCTGAGTACGATGCACTCGGTTTGTAACTAAAGTCACAGTCAAGTTGGAGTGCCTGAATCTTTATCCCAATTACCATCACCTGCAGCCAGTCAGCACTTTTTATCTATACTTTCCACAACAAGTCAGACTTACAAACATAGACTCATTTATCAAAAGGGTTATTGTTAATCAGATGGATGTGCCCTCATGTGGATTAGAGCCACATTTTTAATTGTCGAAAATGTGCAAGCCCCTGAAAAGTGTTTGCAATGAATTTTTCTTCCTAGACATTGTCTTGATACTAAATAAATCTACCAGGTGATTAATAAATGCCTCTAGTATTGATGAATAGATTTTTTCCCTGTTTAACTTGCAACCCGTAGAAAATCTAAAGAAAATAGAGGCAATTATCTTAGTACCCTATCTATTAAATTGTCACAGTAAAAAGCAAATGAAAGTTGATAGGCCCAAGTGCAATATCATAGCTGTGAGTTACCCCCATTGCACCCACTACTGTATGGTGTCAGAATGCAGAATTGGAAACTGAAAATTATGCATGGTTGAGTGCTGATTCTTGGCTTATATCTTTGTTTCATTAGAAAAAAAATGCCAGACCAACATATACAGTCTACTCCAATTATTCCAACCCTTCATTTTCAATGACAAGCTCATTTAATGCATACAATATATAGAGCAAGAATTCAGGAATGGAGAAGATACAAAAATAATCAGAAGTAATTTCTGTCCTCAAGGAACCTACATTTTAATATGGGAGAGGACATACAAAAGTATCTCTAGTACAGAGTAGAGTCAACTAACAAGTAATGTAGGCACTGTGTTGTATGGTAGGGATACAAAGTCAAAAAGCAAAGAGGCTACATTCTGTAATGACAAGTGCAGAAGAGGTATAGAACAAAGTGATACATATGAGAGTGAGGCTTCTAAAAAAGGAATAATAGTTTTAAGTTCATGGAGCAGTATAGTTTTCAAGAAGAAAGTGAGATCCAAACTGGGTCTCAAAGGATGGTTTACTTCAATAGGCATAGATGGGATACTGAGAGGAGGGCTTTACAGGTGTAGAAGCATGAGCAAAGGCATGAGAGAGCAAAGAATGGGTTTGGAGAATTGTGTGTATAAGGATGGAGAAAGAATAGTTGTAGTTGGAAAAAAT